TATACTGACATGTCATTTATCCTGTTTACACCGTATCTATCAACGCCGTCTTATGTTAATGCTGCCATTCTTTGAATGTTTACTTATTTAGTTCCTATCCTATTCAGTTGCTATAGCAGCAGGCAGGTCAGAATGAGGAGTAAAATAAAAAAGGCATTAAAGTATGTGCATTATAAACACCTCATTAAAGTGCGGTGGCACAGGATGAGTAGAAAAAACATTTGTATATAAATCTAAGGACAAGTGTGAAAATAGTTCATGGATAAAGGATAGGTAAAACCAGATTAAAATAAATGGCACTGGTATTAATGAGTGTGTGGTATTTGGTGCAGATCAAAGTAAAATTGTGCAAAAGTGAAAATCAAACAAGCCATTATAGTTCACTTATAAAGCACATAGCAACTGTGTTCGGAAAGCCTCTATAGAAATAAAGCTTATTATCATTTATATTAATGTTCATATCAATAATAACAATGCATGTATATGTAAACAAATAGTAAACCGTTTTTAAAAAGTGTGATGAGAAGATAAGAAGAGTTATTTAAATTATTTATGAGCTTGCAGTGAGCGTATTGAGCCACCACGCCCTCCGAGGCACTAGGTGGCGGTAATGCGAGGATAAAGACGGTGATTACGAAACGGACAGACGCTCCGATGACGTCGTAAAGGGCGTAACCGCCGCTGGGTGTCTCGCTGCCTGAGAAGCGACCGAACAACATTTGTGCGAAGCGACGAGATCGTCATGGATCGAGGCTACGGTTCAGGTGAAGACTCAGTTTGTATTCGTGCATGGATACGCAGATGTGAACGTTTCTGCGTTGAGTAGTGCGCAGTCACCAAAGTTTTATTCCGCCCGCTTAGCCACATGCTTTGTTACGAGTGTTAGCCGTTAGCTAGCTCACGTTTCAGCTAGCCGATGGGAGCCAAACAATAGCCCGTGTGTGCTGCAGACAAAGAGAAGTGCCGGCTGGTTGTTGTGATGAATATGTGTCTGCGTGTTGTGTTGATGGTTGATGATTATGATTTAATTTTTTTTTTTAGCATCAAGGAAACACCAGGCTGCTTATTTGCTAATGTGCCAACATAAAGGGTTGTGGCCCATTGTTGGGCTTGGTGTAGATGCTCTGCTAATATTAGCTTGTTAGTTCTGTTAAAATGGAGTCAGCCCCGGGATAACACACATTTAAAGTAAATAAAATGGCCGCCTCTGTAAAGATGTGTAGAAATGTTTGTTTTCATCCATTCCCAGTTCTGAGGGTTTAAAGAGAGAGCTCCCAGGATATCTTTTGTCCTCACACACATCTACATGGATGACTGAAATGATTCCACTAAGCCATTTAATCCAGCTGTTGTCAGATAAAGTTTTGATTTATTACGCCATCCTTTGCAAATAATCTATTTCTCGTGTCTTCTTTTGTAGGTTATAGTTGGGGAGGTGGAGGGTCTGGCAGCAGAGGTAAGCAAATGTGTGGTTAAACTCTTGTACAATGTGATGGAGCGAAACCACACAATAACATCATGCCCCTGTTCAGGCCTGGTATTAATGTCCGCCCTGTGTGATCCGATCTGCAGTGGTCAGACCCAACTGTAGTTCTGAACTCTGAACCTGAAGTTTCCCACCAGGGCCAGTTCGAATTCAGCGCCTAATCTGAAACCATTTCTTTGTGTTTCAACGACCAATCAATAGGCACTCGGCCAGAAAAACTGGTTCCAGGGTGGCACCAGCTCGTTTCTGGTCTTCATCAGAGATTGGGGGGGGGGGGTTATTGTGCCTGAGACCAATCACAGCTTTGTTCTAGAGAGAAAGTGGAGTCCGGAAGAGTTGAATTCAAAAACGAATATGCGCAGCTATGAAGAAAGATTTGAAGACTAATTGAAGAAAAGTATTGATTGTCTTATGATATTGTCAGATATTGTGGTGGTTGTTTCAAACTAATCAACGTGTAGGGGGTCAGAGACGTCAGCTCAGTCCATATGTGTCAACGCTAAAAAAAGAAATGAGCAAGTTGATAGTCAGGGATGCAATGACGTGGCTCTGGAGGCTCAGTTCACCGTGGTAGAAAAGGGGGTATCAGACCACAGTTGTAGGTGTTCTGGGATGCATCCGGCCACATATGAAGCACCACCTACAAAGCTGAATGCGTGTCTGTGCCAACACACTCTCAAACCTACTGACTGACACGTTTGTACACTCCTGACTGGGTAAAAATGTTCTTTGCCCTTTGCAAACACAAACGACAGTTGTGTGTATTTGCATACAGATTCAGATCCGATTACACTTGAATGGGCAGACAATGCTTTCCACTTGTGATCTATAGCGAGGTTACAGTGAGAGAATATTGAACACTGAAAAACACTGATCTGTTTTTAGTGGTCACATTGTTGTATTTCAATTCCACCAGGTTCTAGCGGCTTTGACATGTACGGTGGAGGTTACAAGGACTCGATGTCCGGGCTCGGCGGCTACGGAGGAGGAGGAGGAGGTAGCGGCCAAATGAAAAGGAATCTATCTGGAGCGTCCATGCTCTCGTCTTCAGGCACACACGCAGATGCAGTCATTGCCAAGATCAACCAGCGACTTGACATGCTCACTCAGTTGGAGGGGGGGTTGAAAGGGGCTCGAAATGACAGGTAAAAACTTTTCGCCTCATTCTGATCCATATTGTCTTCATCCATCAGACACCACGTCCACACATCCATGCCAGCAAGAGCATAACATTTCCCACTAGTTTATTTCATAAGTGAGGTTCAATACTATACAAAGCAGATGTCACAGTGTGGCATCCCTTTCATAAAGAGTGTTGCTTCTGAATATAGGTATTGCTGGGGTTTTTCGACACCAGTGCCAGATCGATACTTAAAATGGTTCCGGTGCCGAGGATTAGGGTTTAAAGTACAAAACGCCGGGGGCTCGAAGTAAGACATTTTTATAGCTAAGGCAGATTGGAAGTTGAAATTTAAGATTTTGACTATTAACAGATTAAAGTACAGTTAACTTAAATATATAAATGTAAATATGTGCACGACTTTTAACAAACTCGCATAATAAATAAAACCGTGTCCTAATGTGCGTCCCGTATTCTTAAAAATCTACAAACATTTTTAAACAAAGGCCATGTCACTGTGGTTGGACACATTATCGTTATTGTTTTAGAATGGTGAAGTTGCTTTAGTCTTTACTCCCATTTCACACTCGTTAGCCTCAATTCCTGTTTGGGGGGGAAAAGGCATGAGTTGCCCACAGGCTCCATTTCAGTGCATCTGAGGAAGCTTTGACTGCTGTGTTGTGGTTTGTCTGGTTGCTGGTAAGAAAAGTTGTGATCCATCAAAACTCTACATGTTGTGAAAATGCATGGCTGCTGGAGATATACATCCTTGCACATGAAGCCAGTCCATCTTTACACAGCTCTCCTTGAACATTACTTTTATCTTGACTTTGTTTGTTCATATATTTTGTTTCTCTCATCCTCCATGTGACCTAACCCCATGTTCTGGCTTTAGGTTACACAAGTGATGAGTTTTCAGGTGTTGCTTGATATTACTTTGTCAAGCTGAAATGTTTACTGAAGGTTGCTTGCTATATTTATAAAAATGCCCATAATACTGGGGAAAAACCCCAGGCTGTATTTTAATCCCCTCCCTGATTATTCATTTTAGTCCAGTCACTTTCCAGGATATTTCACCTCTTGTGTCTCAGGGTCACTGGTTCTCACGGACCGTGTTCATGCCTGTTGAAGGGTTGTGAGCGTATCCTTTAACAAGGAATCTGCGTTAAAAACTGCATTTCCCTAATCTGCAGGAAAGTGTTTGATCTCCAACAAAAAATGTGGTTGGATGAAAAATAAGAGAAAATTCATTACTACATCACAGAAGGCCACAAGCAGTGTAATAACTTGTTTTGGATCATTGACTTCTGATCTAATGTGGTTTGTGAAATACAAACAAAACAAAAGGAGAAAGCGAGACCATGGAGGAGAAGGAAAAGCAGGTGGAGAGATCCGAGCCTGACTGTCCTCCCTGCCTCCCTTGCTCTGTGCTTTTCTCTATCAACCCTCTCCCTCCCTCCCGCAGGTTTGACCAGTACGAGTCTTTCGACTCGCGCACTTCCTCCCTCGCCTCCTCCCGAGATCTCTACAGATCTGGCGGCAGTAGCTATGGCTATGATGATGGCCGTGGGGACAATCTGCTGTTGGGTCAGCGAGGAGGCTCTGGCTTCGGAGGGGGAATGGGGCTAGGAGGAGGCGGAGGCTTTGACAGCCCGTCCTCTTCCTATGGAGTCGCTAAAATGCGACAGAATATGAGGGATTCCTTCACCAGTAGCCAGGGAGGAGTTTCTGAAGGTGGAGCATGGGTATGGGGAGGAGCAGGCCGACGTTCCCCCAGAAGGGGTGGAAGTGCCGGGGGTCGAGGAGCTGGCGGAGGTTTTGGAAGTCTCAGGTCTGATTCCACTCCATTAGGCGGTGGGAGGGGAAGTGGCAGTGGTGGCCAGTCCCACCGTGGCCACTCTCCAGGAGGTGGTAGAGGCAAGCTCCCATCTCTCCTGTCCAACCGCATGTACCCTGAGAGCGGGGGCTTCTATCAGGGTTCCGCTCAAGGGCCTCACGACTTTCCTGGGAGGCACTTTGGAGGGGGCCCACGGGCTGGCCGCCAGCGAGGCCGCAAGAGACCCCTCAACAAAGTAAGTACCTCTAGCCAAATAAGACCTCCTCAGACACTGGGCAAAAGTTAAGCCCTTTCTGATTCCCCTGTTTGTGTTTCCTCTGCCAACTGGCAAGTCAGCCTGAAGAGCTAGTGCCTGCTGTGCCATCAAAAACTAGTTGTCACAAATAACCCCCAACACACATTTGACAAAGCACTTGCTCATATAATTTACCCCCAGCCCTTATTGGATGTGGTCAGAAATGCTTTAAGGTTTCTGTACAGTAAATGCAAGTGACAGTTCTCTCTGCCCAATTCTTTGTCCCGTTTACGTGAAGGGACGTTGATTTCACTTTGTAGACTTTTTTTTTGTGTATCTTTTGCCCCCGGGACTCCTTAAGATAAGACTAACGCTATTCATGTGGAAATTTTCCAGAAAGGGAAGCCATATCAATACTGCTAATTGGCTTTGACCAGCATGAAGTCTAGATTTCAGTGATGTGTTGATGAGGGGCTCTTTTTTTGTTGCTGTTAGAAAATGTGTATTGATTTTTGTTGACTGCAGCAGCAGCAGCAGCAGCAGCAGCAGGTGAAGCAACAACGTCCAGATGTCCAGAAAAAGAGAAAGCAGATGCTCACTGCAGCTGATGAACCAGAGTCCAAGATAAATAAGACGGAGAGTGCAGGGACAGAGGTGACCCAAGGTACGCCCCAAAATAATTTTTAATCAG